TATGTATCATGGCATGTCTGGGTATATTGGGTAAAGAGAAACAACCATGTGGTTAGGTTAAAACAAGCACCAATATATTTCACGTATGTTTTTCATACAATGGTTGGGCACCTAACATGTTCTTCTTCTATATCATATTACAGTTTTCGAATGTTTAGCAATGAGGATGTTACTATTGGTTCATGGATGCTTGCAATGAATGTGGATCATGAGGATAGTAAGGAACTATGCAGTGTAGAGTGTACATCCTCGTCTATTGCTGTCTGGGATATTCCAAAGTGTTCAGGTGTGTATGTATAACGATTAATGTATATAACCTACCTACCTACCATTTGGACAGAAGTCTATTTAAAATATTACTCCATCAACAGCAATCAGCTAGATTTTATTAGTCATGATTACATATCTTGTAATTTTTTTAGGACTTTGCAATCCCGAGAAGAAGATGTTGGAACTTCATAAGTTAGACGTATGTTCAAAAAGCCCAACTCTTCCATCCGAAGGAGAAGATGATTAGCACTCCTTTTTGATCGAGTTCAGTTACAGAAATCACGTTCACGGCAGTAGTATTCTGCTCGTACAGCTCTTTATCTTTTTGTACCTAATTCTTGTCACTCCCTTGAGTAACAGAAAATTTTGGTGACCATGATCTTATTACTTTTAGACGTTGAAAAGGTGTACTGGAATTATCAATTCTTGTGTCATATGCTGGACATTTAATTGAATATTCTTTAGTTTCTTATTCCAGATTGATCAATATTTAACAGATGTACACTTTACNATATTATATATAATTCTCGAATGTGTTGAGCCTAATTGGCATGCTCGCATGCTTCGGGACTCTAGGTGCCAGAATTTCTGTTTCATTATTTGGCTTGGATAGATTTTAATTTAATTACAAACAAAAAATAAGTAGGTTTGGATTACCATAAATATGTTGATTATTTATGATCATTTTAGATGTATTAATTGTTTTTAATATCATTTTCTATTATAACTAATTAACTATTAAATTGTAAATATATTTTAGAAGTTAATAATTTTTGTACTTCTTATCGGTTTTACATATATAATATATCAAATTAATCATCTTTTGATGGGCTTCGATTTGACATCCATATTGTATGTATAAAATAAATAAGTTATATTTATCTTTATAATAATAATAAATTATTTATTAATATTAATTAAAAATAAAATTATTTCTCAATTAATATATTTATGTCTAAAGTATTTATATGTTATTAGTTAAAAAAATTGTTATAATATGATACAAGTAAGTCACACAAGTAACAAATGTCATTCTAAAATATATAATAATATATATTTTTTAAAAAACGTATTCAAATTTTAAACCATTTTTTCTCATTAATTTAAATTTAAGAAAAAAAAATTTAACAAGCACCCGTGTAATACATGAGTGTTGTACTAGTTATAAAAGATACATAGAAGTTAAAAAAATTAATATATTTTTTTTTATTTTTTTCATTCCTCTAAGTGTAAATAATATTGTATCTAATCCCAAATATTTACTTTTAAAGTAAAAGTATTTATAAAATAACCAATATTATAACAGTCGGGTTAAAGTGGGTGATCAGGCCGGGTCAATCAAATTCGATCAGGTCCTTTGTTACCCTAGCTTTGGGTTGACCCGCCAGACCAGTTATATTTCTTTCGAATTGTCTCACCATAACCAACTCAATCTTGTAAACAAAAGAACACAATCTTGTGAACAAAAGCTGAAAAATACACGCCTAACGGCTTAAGATTATGTTTGGTAAACATAACTAATAAGTTAGTTGATAGCTGATAGTTTATGACTCATAGTTAAAATGCTATTTATATGATAAAAATGTTTGGTAAAATTAACTGATAAATTAAATTAAATAAAAAAATTTCAACGAACTTATTTTAAAAGCTACTCAAAAAAGCTTATGAGATAACCGCAAGCTTTTTTTAAAATATAAACTTATTTTACAAAACGAAACTTATTTGAATACAAGAAATTTATAGCTAATTTCGTTACCAAACATAACCTAAGCCCATGAGTCAATTGAAGTGTAGATCCTTGTGTTTTAGATCAATTTAATGTTGACATTTTTGAAAGAATTAAAATGCCAACAATTTCGATGCCAAATTTCTTAACAAAATGTAAACATCTAAAAAGCATATGCCAATGTTATACCTTAATAGTAAGCTTGCCATGTGCCACCTACGCGAGTGGGCAAATGTTGAGTAATGTATTGTCACCACACCAACAATGTATATAATCGGCATTCAATTTCCCGAAATAATAGATGGATTTAATTGTTACGTAATCATATTATTTACAGACAGACAATATTTTATATTAAAATATTATTTTTGTTTATAAAATATGTCATTATAATTGTTTACCACATCATTACGTAAACATATCACTACATGAAAAATTGAAAATTCATTATTATTTTATGACACTCTAATCATTTACCATAACCATTACCTAAACATATCAAGCGATGTTTGTAGGATAGAAGTTCGAAATGAAAGAAGATTGCATACTAAATTAACTTGGAAGTGCAACACTGTATCAATATTTGTTTGAAATAATGGGTGCCATTTGAGTTAAAATTACTGCTTTGGTAAATGTAATGAACCAAGACTTTATGGAGATTTATAAAAGTTGTAATCAATGCTGTAACTTATTAAACTCAGTACAGACAATTTTGTCTAGAAAAAAATATGGTAAGTCAGCGAAAAAAACAAGTCCAGCCAAGCAGTCGTAGATTTTACATTCAATAGAAATAACCATACAAGGCATACAATTTGGATTTGGGACAATACACTGAATCATACTATAATCTATTTGACAATAAATAAATTGGATATATATTACACGTAAGACAGAAAATAAATATATAAAAGTCATCAAAAAATATAAAATTGAAAAAAAAAAAAGTATATACAAATGACACAAGTTAATGGAACCCAATAATAAAGTATATACAAATAATGTCTCTCCCCTTCTCTCTCACTGCTGAGTCATAACCAGTAAGAATGGCTCTTTTTCCAGCTGTTCAATGGGTCCCACCATCTCCCACAACGCAAAGAAAAACTAAAATGAAAAACGAGAAATGTTGAGAAATAATAATAATAATAATAATAATAATAATAAGTTGAGAAAAGTGTGAAATAATCCGACTCGTGAAGCAAGGAAATATGATTGAAACAAACGATTCATTTCTTCTTCTTTCTTCTCCGCTGTTCATCTCCTCTGTAAAAACCGATTTTCTCTCTCTTCGAAAGTCAGTCAAAAAGGCCGATTTTCTGTATCTAAGCATTCGCATTCATCATTCTTTGATTCGCCCCCATTTTACCTTCACGAGATCCCCAGCCCTTCCTTTCTTCCCCCTTAGCCTTCCCCCTTCATGCAACAATCTCTCTGAATCTCCATTTTTCAGGTTGCAGAGATTACTCTTCAAGAATTCAGCTCTCAGGAGAGAGGGAAGTCAGAGAGAGAGAGAGAGAGAGAGAGAGAGAGAGAACGAGGTGTGCTTGGAGCTGCTTTGGCTAAAAAATGTCGTCACATTCGGCGAAAACCATGTCTGAAATAGCCGCGGATGCGCTGTCGGATCGGTTTAGGAACACTCTGACCGTCGGGGAAAATGACGGCGTCGTTAGCGTTGACAAACCGGACTTCCGGGAGCTTGATCTGTGGTCTCCGGCAACGCCGCTCCGAACCCGCAGTGGTGGTGGGCTCCCCGCGTCGGCGTCCGCCGCCACCACCACCGCAACCAGCAGCAGCTCCAGTTCGTCCGGATCGGTCACGGACCGAGCCTCGGCGGTGCCTAACTCGCATTTGCCCCAAAGATCTGGTCCCAACACCAACAGCCACTCAGGCGAGCTTTCCGTCGAGAGTTCCCCTTCATCAGCTACCCGAAACTCCCGTCCGGGTCACACCCGGTCCCGCTCATGCGGGTCCCACCAGCTATTCTTCTCCGGATCGGGCTCTGTCAACTCCCCGCCAGCGAATGTGGTGCCCACCGGGAACATCTGCCCTTCCGGCAGAGTCCTGAAAACTGGCATGGCCAGCCGGTCCACGAAGCCCGATGTCCTGGGTTCGGGCTCAGTGAATTACGGCCATGGTAGCATAATGCGGGGCGGCGGGCTTGCATACAAAACCGGTCCTGACAGTGGGCCCACCAATAATTACTCGAGAGGACTAATGGTTGGCGGGGATATGGGGAGAAGGACGATTGGGGTTTGCAGTAATAATAACACTGATCCTGAGGAACTGAAAAAACTGGGGAATGACAGCTACAAACATGGGCATTTTGTGGAGGCTTTGAATTTTTATGAGAAAGCAATTTCTATTTCGCCGGCTAATGCTGCCTATCATTTCAATCGTGCGGCGGCATTGACAGGTTTGAGGCGTTTGTTTGAGGCAGTTAGAGAATATGAGGAGGCAATTAGACTCGAGCCAGGGTACGTGAAGGCACACCACCGTTTGGGATCTTTATTTCTTAGGTGAGCTTTTGTCGATAAAGTTTGAAACTAGATTTGATGACCTATCTTGTTGACTTGTTCCTTATGCTCATCATTGTAGGCTAGTTTTGGAGTTTCGTGGACATGTATTTAAATGCTGGATTCCGTTTTTTGTGCGATGGAAGTGTTTTACGTGTTGATAGATCCTAACAGTTGATTGTCTTGTGTTGTGTGTTTGTTTCGAGGGGGCTTATTAGAAATTAGTGCAGGCATTGATCTACCATTGTGTTGAGTGTTCTGAATTAAGTGTTTTTGTCTTCTGGTTCTAGTTCGCCTTAGACCGTTTGTATTAATGCCTCATCTAGGCCACGTGTTGTGCAGAGGCCATGGTTTGGAATTTTGTTTTATTGACATTTCTGACTGATTCTTATCTTAATGATAGATATTAGTTTCGGCTTAGAGTAAATTCATTACAGCTTGCAGGTTTCGCTATATTTCTCGAAATGCATTTATCTAAATTGGATCCATTTCCTTTCACGTCCTAGATTTTTTGACTTTCATGTTGCTCAGTATTTATTATGTTACGAATCTAATTCCTCTGAGGATGACACAGTTTAGGACAGGTCGAAAATGCGAGGAAGCACATTTGTTTTTCAGGGCACCAACCAGATCCTGTAGATTTCCAAAAGTTGCAGTCAGTGGAAAAACATCTGAGCAGGTGTGCTGATGCTCGTAGAGTAGGTGACTGGAGAAGTACTTTGAGGGAAATCGATGCCGCCATTGCCTCTGGAGCCGATGCTTCTCCTCAGGTCCAGTCTTCATAGCGCATTTGAAAAATTACCTTTTACCCCACCTTACTAATATTACAATTGAGAAGTTCATGTCCCTCATTCATGCCTTTCATGGCATGTGTTAGTGATGATAGAGCATGAGATGGATCAGGACCAAAGTTAGGAAAGGTTTTCATCAGAGTTCAGAAACTAATATGAACCGACTTGTAATTTGAAACTATGTGTGAATGTTCTGGTAAATAGGTTATAACCAAGTAGTTGAGAGTTTTCGCAACTAACCCATTCTTGAATTTAGAAAAATCAAAGGGAAACTGACTGAATTTAATCTACAGCTGTGCGCTTGCAGGGCAGAAGCTCTCTTGAAGCTTCACCAATTGGACGATGCTTTCTCGGTCATGTCGAATATCCCTAAATCTGAGCCATCCACAGCTCATCTTCCCCATAGGATTTTCGGGATGCCATTTGGAGCGTACATATTATATGTAAGAACTCAAGTAGAATTGTCCAAGGGGAGGTGAGCTAAGCTTGAGTTACATTCGGCATTCTTTGAGATGATAAAACAAAGCTAGAAAGGATACGATTATACGAATAATTTTGCAGGTTTGAAAGTGCTCTATCAGCTGTAGAGAAAGCTAAAGAGATGGACCCACACAATGTTGAGATCTCAAACTTACTCAACAATGTGAGGTTAGTGAGCCGAGCTCGTGCCCGTGGGAATGATTTATTCAGGTCAGAAAGGTTCACTGAGGCTTGCTTGGCATATGGGGAAGGTCTCAGGCTCAATCCCTCGAACTCTGTTCTGTACTGCAATAGAGCGGCTTGTTGGTATAAGCTTGGGAAGTTGGAAAAATCGGTGGATGATTGCAATCAAGCTCTTCAGATTCAGCCCCGTTACACTAAAGCTCTGCTTCGAAGGGCTTTGTCTAACAGCAAGGTGAGAATTTAGATATAATTCTCAAAGCTCCTGAAATCGCTCCAACAGTCCAACTGCTCTGAAATGAATGGAAGCTATTTCTGAATAAGAAATGGAAGTTGTTTGTTGAGAAGAGAAAATAATTTAGGATTTTGTTTATATAATTACTCTTAGAAATGTTTCATGCGTGAATTAGATGCTGACGAGTTTTTATGGTTTGCATGTCAAATCCATTACAGCTCGAACGGTGGAGTGAAGCTGTGAGGGATTATGAGGTTTTGAGAAGGGAACTCCCGGATGACAATGAGATTGGCGAGTCTCTATTTCACGCGCAAGTTGCACTTAGGAAAGCACGTGGAGAGGAAGTGTACAATATGAAATTTGGTGGGGAAGTTGAGTTGGTTTCTGGTCCTGAGCAATTCCGGGCTGCAATTTTATCATCCGGTGAGGGTGTTTCCAATTTTTTTTTTTTTTTTCCTGAATCTTTTCTGTTGGCCTAAGCATTGTTTTAAGTATCCTAATTGTAAAAAATGCAGGAGCATCTCTGGTTTTTTACAAGACAGGTTCCAACGCACAGTGCAATCAAATTTCACCCTTCTTGGATGCATTATGCACCCGATATCCATCAGTTAATTTTCTGAAGGTGAGTGAGTTACCATCTAAAATTTTGATTTTGTGAGTTTTGAAATTATTTGAATATTATAAAGAGGACCCGAAGTTTGGGGAAGTTGCAAGAAACCCTGTGGTTTCTAATTGGTCCTGTCTTGTAATTTTTGCCTTTTAAGCAACATACACTTCAAGAAACCCTCTACTGTTTATGGAAATACTGTAGTTGCCCACAATCCACCCAAACTTCCAGTTTTTCCTTCTCCTTTTTCCCTTTTTTCTAATATTTCCATTTCAAAGCATATTTAAACACCTTCTCTCTCTCTCTCTCTCTCTCTCTCTCTCTAATTAGATGAAATTAGGTCTTTTTGTAACTATTCCTTAATCTTAATAATGATCTCAACCGTGTGCATGAATATAATATCTTTAACTACAGGTAAATATTGAAGAGAGCCAGGAAATTGCAAATGCGGAGAATGTCAAAATAGTGCCGACATTCAAGATTTACAGAAAGGGCATCCGAGTCAAGGAAATGGTATGCCCGAGTCCCGAGGTTCTAGAGTCATCTGTGAGGCATTACAGTATATGAAATCTTGGTTAGTCGTCCCATGTTTCTGCATTCCAATGATGCTCATCCGCTTTCATACCAATTGAAGGCCTGTCACTTATGGTTGGAGACAGTAATAATTCGAAGCCACACCAGTCAAGTGCTACTGGAATTTAAAGACATAGCTTAGTTCCCTTTTGCCTGTTTTTCCATTTTTTTTTTTTTCATTTTTATTCATTCATTCATCGGATTCCATCTTGCACCTATCCCTTCATACTTCCCATCTAAACCTTTTTGGAACATTGCATCTCTTACCTTTACTTCTTTCGTTGAGGCTGGTTAATTTCTTGGTCATTCAAGAGAAGATTGTTTGATGAAGTATGTGAAAAACTAATATCTGTTCGATCTTTGGCTGAACCTTAGTGAGGAAAGGAGAGAGGGAAGGAAATTGAATGCTTATGGCTGTTGGTTGGTTTTTAGACGAGGTGTTGTTGCACATGCACATGCAAAGATATGCGTGTATAAGTTCTATTGAAGGCTCGTTGAGAAAGGAAATGGACTTGGTGGGTATTTGTTGGGTTAAAGAAGGAAGATGAACATGATGCAATATTGGTGTTGAATTTTTCTTTTTCCTTTTCTTTTCCTACACCATTCAATTTTAAATAAACCAAAAATATGTTCTTTAGAGTTTCCATTTTCCCCCATGTCTCGTGTAATCATCCTTTGCAGAGAGTTAACATTTTCTCTGCCAGACCATCTGTCTTCGTATAAGATCTATTCTTCATTACTTTGGAGTATTGGGTTTACATGTCTTAATTTCTTATGGTGATGGTCATAATTAAGTAATAGTGGTTGTCAACTTTGTCATTTTCAATCATCTAAATGTAGAAACTTTAGGTTGGTGCCATAAATGTTACGCAGCTGTGGCCTTAACTTGTAGGTGCCTTGAGTGTAAAGGATACATAGACAACTTAATTAAATTATTACAAGTTAATTTTTTTTTCAACTTATAACATTTTAACAATAGTTGGGATAAAATACAAATTTACCAATTTGTCCCTTAAATTTTGTCCAATTTATTTGTGATTGGGATATAATCTAAAAACTAGAATATTTGGAGATCATTTGGTCATTTTTGTAAGTTTAAGTTTTAACTGTAGGGATAAAAAAACACACTCTACACCTTAGATTCAATAGTCTTTGATAGTCAAGACTACACGTTTTTTCATCTCGAGCTCAATTTGATCTTGAGGGTTGCATTCTTGATAAACAAATGCAAGATGAACTCAAGATTAAAGGCTTAATCTTATCTAATTTAGGCAAGCAAACGAGCCTTAAGTGGATAAATATCCACTATAAGCACAAACCATACTTTGGGAACTATGAAAACAATGGATAACATAATAAAATTACATAAATACCCTTTTGGGTGGAAGAGATGGAAGAAATGTCTAACAAGTCAAGGGCATTATGAATTATTCAATATGTTACATGATATTAATGTTGTGATTACTATCACACCCAACACCATGGGGACTATTTTTTGAAATAGTTATCATCACACGGTTGTCTTTTCGTTTGATAATTTGCTTTGGGCCGCTGTCCAATTTCACAAAAACAAAAAGAACACGTAACAAAAATCTTTATCACCTCGTCAACTTCTGGAAATGTGCCCTAAATAGACCCACAAACGTAGGTTATACAAAAGTGTAAAATGCCTATAATTGAAGTGTTAAAAAAGGTTTCTGGTTTACTTTTGAGTTATAAGACTTATAAGATTACTGATTACAAATGATGCCTGTGGTTTACTTTGTAGGCAATACTGTATAAATGATGCTGGTAATTAATAAATTATATTTAAGAAAAAAGTGATGGACTGTTTTAAAGAAAAAGATAGCCTTACCGTGTTGAATCAGTAAACTGAGTCAAAGCCCTAAGACAGAGGGTTTTATACTGGCCAAATATCAATTGGAAGCATTAAATGCGTGCCAATAAGTGTACTGGTGGTACCTTTCGTCAAACCGTAATAAGTGTACATTTGCTCAACCTCTTGAAAACACTATTTATTTATATATTATGTGACAATTTGCAGCGCAGATGCTTTTATTAAGCATATCTAAACATTTACAAATTGCACCATTAGGCTTGTTCATAAGGCGTTTTGTGTGTTTTTTTCAGTCCTAAAAACAATATTTGTAAAATAATTTACGTAAATAAATTAACTTCTTATCTTTGAGACAGAAAATGTTTCTCTACAACACTTTTGCAATCAATCCACTTATTATGAAAAGCCACCATTTGTAGTTTTATAAGCATTGTGTCTACAAAGCTATTTAAAACTCTGTTAGACCATACAGCTCAACTAGAGAAACTGGCCATCTACATTTCAATACTCTAATTAAGGCCCATATCTAATATTTGCTCAAGTAGAGATTTTAACTATTCAATCCTCTAATTAAGGCCCACATCTACTTTTAACTTAATTATTTCATCACCCATCACACCCTGAGATTCAAACTCGTTCAATACTAACTTGTATGTAAATCCAACAATACAACTGATGAAACATCTACAGCAATGATAAGTCATAAGGTCTTTCCCATCGACACTTACTGTTTACAAATCATAGCATAGTGGAATATGTGCTCATGATGCATCGTACCGCAGTCCAAACAAAATATTAATAACAATCAACATATTCTAAAATAACTTTAGCATATGCTCAACATCTAATACATTATGCACATTGCATAATGTGTGCATATGCAACAATTCCAATTAATACCCGTATAACTTGAATTAAATTCTAAAAAGGTTTCACATAGACAAGAAAGAAATTGAAAAAAACATATGCATAACCAAAACACTGCAAACTGAATTGCTAATTTCAAATGTGTAAAACAAGAGTACAATAAACTTCCAGATAATAAGACATAGCATAACAGAACTCACTGACTTTATATCATCTGCACATTTTTAATGACGTTCTAATAACGAGAACAATTTGAAACTAGGGGGGTCATTCTTCCAAATTTTTCCATGTTTTACTTGACGGATGATAGAATATAACTTTACTTATTAGAGAAAGAAACCCAAGTTCCATGTTATTCAAGCACCACTTGCATATAAACGCGTCCATTCTTTAGCTGCAGGATTGACACCAAGACTCCATGAATTAGTAAAACAACATTGACAAATATAAAATAGCCAAGTG